TTAGGTTTTTGAAATTTTAAAGGTTTTTTTAGATCTTTCCTAAATTCTTTTTTTTTTTTCAGAATTCTCTTGAATTGCCGAGAGAGCTGGTCAAAATCTCAGTGAAACACTGAAATTATTGTCATATCTATTTTTGGTGTGAAGAGCAGAGTTGGACGCCTGTCTTGAACAAATTTTAAGCATCTTCCGCACTCGTAAATATTAGACGGCCAATAACTCCTTTGGCATTTGACTCTATTTAGAGGGACAATCTGGTCCATCTGAAAAATCATTTACTTCAACTGCCACATTTCACATTCTGGATTACTGACCTTGTAATGACAACGATTTGTATCTGGATATGATAACAGAGAGCGATTTGTACCTTAACATATCATTCCCACTGACCTACCAGACAACAATTTCAAAAGTGCAGCACAGCTTTTTTTGTCTTATAATGCACAAATCCCTCTTAAGTAGGGATGAAGTGTGGAAACAAAGAAGCTATGGCATTTCATTTGCCTTGAACTGACTATATTACTGTATATGTCTTTGCAGTATCATCATCGTCTCCTATCTTGCTACTGTGAAACTCGTATACTTGGATATTTTCAAGGAAAAAAATTAGAATGTTGTACAGTAAAAGGAAATGTAAGAGTAGAAACACACACACACACAACCTTGAAAGAATCGAATTTGTATGGTATATGTCATGTCATTTTCTCAAATTTATCAAGCTTCTTTACCCTTTGCATAGACTTGAAGAACAGCGTCATAAAAAAACCTGCATGACCAGGTAGTGCTAATCAGCCACATGAAAGGGAAGAACTGAAGACTCAAACAAGAACATAAGGTTATGGATAATCTCAATTTCTTCAGATATTAAACTTAAGAGACAGCCATAAATCGTGTGACAACCACATAAAATTGGCATTCATAATTTCAGACCCCCTGCAACACAAGGGTGCTGTGCAGAACCTACACGATAGAAATCCATTGACAAGAAATTGCCTCATTGAGTGGCCATGGAAGCTGCAAATGTGACCAGCCAGATCATTTAAACCAATGCTCGCTGTTGGATCTCTGTTGTCTAGGCTCTGCACAGCACCGCCAGATGTCCAGGATAACAGAGCTGCATAAATTGTGGGTCCCAATTAAAAAGATGTACCTCAATATTACTATGGATCCCCGTCATTTGTCCCCATCTTATATTAATATTGTCAATTTTTCCCCCAAGAAAAAAAAGGTACAGAGAGAGGATGAACATCTTGATGGAAGCGTTATAATATATAGTTAGCTGCACCAACAAAGGATCCATTTGCAATGGCGATATTGCCTTGGGTGGTCAAGGTGACGCCAAAATTTAGCAAGGTTCCTCCCAGTACTGTATACGTAGTTGCCATTTGCAGCACTGTTGCTTTTTGAGCAGCTCTCTCAGACTAAGAAACTGGGTCACAAGTTTGAGATGAGAATTTGTACGCAAAATAATGGCATGTTCATATATTATTTCTGTCAAGGGGGAAAATGTTACATTCCATGCCTTTTGAGGTCAGAGGAATGCTTTTTATTTAACAACTTTTTTCATAACTTCACTCTTGTGTATAGGCACATCAGAATAAATTATGTAGTGCTAACTTTGTTTTTGTGATTATATTTGACCTCCTTAGTTCATTGTTCTGTAGACAGTCCTGTACGGATATATATTTTTTTAAAACAAAAAGTTACCTCAAGCACCCGGACCAGGAGTCTCAGATCCCTATCCTCAAGCTGCTTCACAAACTCATCTATTCCCTGTACTCTGTATGGCATTGACATAGTCGAGGATCTTGCCTAACAAAGGAACAAATGGTACAAGTTGATTGATTATAGCATCATTGAATAATCGTGTTTTCAAAAATTTCCTTGTGTCAAGGAATATCATCTGGACCGGAAAAAAAAAAAAAAAAAAGGAGTTCCAGATACTGTTTCATACGTCATCTGCCTGTTTCCTTATTTGCTCCACTAGTCGTGGCCCTGTCTGCTGCTTTTGCCGTACATCTAGAAGTTCCTGTACAAAATTAATATCAAATTAAAGTAGACAGTGCTACGTGTAACTCATGATCATTGTCGCTTATTACCTGGACTCCACGGGATGTATGGAAACCCACTTAGAGTTAGAAAAGTTATCACATTATGAGAAAACTACTTCGTCAAAGAAAATACGCACCTGAGCATAAGGTGCAGCAATCTTCACGAAGGAAAAATCTGGATTGAGTCTGTAACCTATGCCTAGTAAAAAGGAACAAGCAGCAGGCAGAAGAAATGGGTTAAAAAGAAAGGGCAGACATCAAATCATATTCACTAATTCCTCTTTCTGCTATTGGACTACTGACTGAATAAAATTTTCTGAAGCCCAAAGAAAGAGGCACACCTTCAAGAGTTGAGAAGGCCCTGATAACAAAGGTGAAAGTGGATGGAAATCGGAAAGGTTGATCTTGAGCTATAGCAATTAAATCCTACCACAAAAAGCCCCAGTTTACAAACTGCCAGGTCTAGATCATGAGGGAAAATGCAATAACCCTTTAAATTTTGAGCAAACTCCCTCATCAAATTTAAAATAGGAAAATAAGCCCCATAATTATCACCCCATAATGGAAAACTTATGTTTCGATAAGTGAAACACAGAAGCTGTCCTCTTTACCAATGACAGCCAGGGAATAGAAAAGATTGATGCTATTCTTGTGAGCAGGAACTATAATAGTAAAAGTATGGTTGTGTTTTGTATCGCACTCAATACTATCTATGCTCTTAGAGGAATTTTTTGAATTGCAGTTATATTTTTGGTGTGTTTAATAATTTTTCTTTTTACTAACACAAACGTATGTATCTTGAAGTATTATATCATGTATTTTCCAAAACAGAAATACCGATTTACCGGGTACGTCATGTATAGTTATCTCCATTATAGCAAGTCACGAATGGCCCAAAGTTGAAGGAGAGGCCATTTGCATAGCTTTCAAAATTATTATTGTTGAACACCGACCTGCTCCAAGAATCCCTAAAACACACGACTACGGACTGGAAGAGAATTATTTTATTGAATCACAACTGAGAAGGAATTCGCATAGATGGGCCAACAACAGACCCAATATTTATATACAATGCGCAGCTCTATGATCCTAACTAAACGGCTCACAAGAATGGGCCACTGATGGGCTTACAGAAACGAAGTACAACCAACAACAAATACAAATAAATTTATTCTAATATTTCCAACACTCCCCCTCAAGTTAGGGGCTTGAAAATATCTATAGCTCCTAACTTGCTCAACAGGCTTTTCTGTACATTTCCCGCAACTGGTTTTGTCAGCAGATCTGCTTCCTGGCTGTGGCTCCTAACATGCTCCAGATCAATCAGCTTAGTCTCCCATTTCTCCCTAATGAAATGACAATCTATTTCTATGTGTTTTGTGCGTTCATGAAAGACTGGGTTGGCTACAATATGAATTGCAGCCTTGTGTCACAATAAACCTTCATAGGTTGCCTGTGATCTATTCCCAAATCTTTCAATAAACTAACAGCCCATACCACCTCAGAAGTTGCCATGCTTAAGGCTCTATATTCTGCCTCTGCGGATGACTTTGAGACAGTATGTTGCTTCTTAGTTTTCCACATCACAAGAGATCCTCCCAGCTTTAACAAATATCCAGATACAGATCTCCTTGTCATAGCACAAGACGCCCAGTCTGAATCGCAATAGCATTCCAAAATTGGTTTCCCTTCTGAGCTAATGAAGATTCCCAATCCAGGTGTGGCTTTCAAATACCGCAGGACATTTCTAGCTGCTGCCATATGAGCTTTGGTTGGCATCTGCATGAACTGGCTCAAGGTCTGCACAAAATAAGAAATATCAGGCCGGGTCATTGTCAAATATATCAACTTACCTATCAACCTTCTGTACTTTGCTAGTTCTCTCAATAGGTCTTCTACACGGTTCCTCTTCTCATCATAAGCAAATAACTTCAGATTTTGAGCCATTGGAACTCCTATTGGCTTGCAACCTGTCATGCCAGTTTCAAACAATAGATCCAGAACGTATTTTCTTTGTGACAAAACAATTCCTTTCTTAGCCTTAGCTACTTCAATCCCAAGAAAATATTTCATTAGTCCTAGGTCCTTAATTTTAAAATGATTACGCAAGAATTCTTTAGTTTCAGCAATTCCAGACTCAGTGCTCCCTGTAATCAGTAAATCATCAACATATACCAAAATAAAAACAACCCCTTGCTCAAAATGTTTAATAAAAAGAGAATAATCAGCCTTGCTTTGTGTAAATCCTCCTCTCTGCAGTGCTTCAGACAATTTTTGATTCCATTGTCTTGAAGCCTGCTTCAAACCATAAAGGGATTTATTCAATTTGCAAACCATTTGCTCCCCCTGTCTCTCAAAACCTTGAGGTATTTTCATATAAACTTCCTCATCTAAATCACCTTGTAAAAATGCATTATAAACATCCATTTGATAAAGATTCCATTTGTTAACAGCAGCCAATTTTAATACTACTCTAACTGTAAACATTTTCACAACAGGAGAAAAAGTCTCATGGTAATCAATACCCTCCTTTTGATTAAAGCCCTTGGCTACTAATCTAGCCTTATACTTTTCTATACTACCATCTGCATTATATTTAATTTTATAAACCCATTTGCAACCAATAGCCTTCTTACCCTTAGGCAAAGATACTATGGTCCAGGTTTTGTTACTTTCTAACGCTTTCATTTCAGTTTCCATGGCTTTAACCCAGTTTTCACTTTGAACAACCTCTTCATAACAAGATGGTTCACAATTAGAGTCAATAGAAGTTAGAAAACACATATGATCAGCTGACATGTGTGCATAGGAAAGATAATCATCAATAGGATATTTACAATTAGGCTTTAAAGGATAATCAGAATCAAATTGCAACAAGGAACATACATAGTCATTTGCCCAATAGGGGGTCTTCTAGTACGAACAGGTCTTTGACTCTCAACACTGGTTTGATTTCTACGGTTATCACATTCATCATCTCCTCCATTGTTTGTCCTGTTATACATAGGATCTTCATCATTATTATTAGCTGATTCTGGTTCTGCAATGGTTCCAGAATTTTGATTTCCAGAATTTTCTGATTCAAACCAAAACATTGATCTCACACCATCTCTTAACGTATCTTGAAAGTTGTTTCTAACGTCCCTGAAGGGAAATTTATCTTCTACAAAGTGTACATGTCTGCTGACAAATATGGTATTTTGCTTTAGATCTAGGAGCAAATATCCTTTTGATTATCTGGATATCCTAGAAAACACTAGGGATTGATCTAGACTGTAGTTTATCACTGACCTTTAAATCAGTGGCATAAGCAAGTGACCCAAAAATCCTCAAATTACTTAGGTCTGGTTTGACTCCATAAATCCTTTCGTAAGGTGTTTGGTAGTCTATAACCTTTGAAGGAATCCTATTCACCAAATATGTCGCCATTTTAACACATTCCCCCCAATACTTAATGGGTATTCCTGACTGTAAGATAAGACTTCTAGTGATCTGCATAATGGTCTATGTTTTCTTTCTACTACCCCATTTTGCTCTGGTGTATAGGGACAAGATGTCTGATGAATTATGCCTCTCTGTTGAAAATAAACTTTCAATTGATTGTTAGTAAACTCAGTTCCATTATCACTTCTAATCCTTTTTACATTCACAGAGAACTGTGTTGAAACATAAGCAATGAAGTTTTTAATGTGAATTTCAGTCTCATTCTTATGTCTCATCAAGAAAAATCCAAGTTCCCCTAGAAAAGTCATCTACTAAAGTCAAGAAAAACTGAAAGCCTTGATGCGTGGGGTTCCTATAGGGTCCCCAAACATCCGCATGAATCAAATCAAAGCTTTTCTGAGATTTAATAACACTAGAATTGAAAGGGAACTTAGTCTGCTTGGACTGAATGCAAATATCACAGGAATTAGAAGTTTTATTCAAAACAGAGTTTTCAGTACAAATTTGATCAATGTGTCTTATCACAGATATGGGGGCATGTCCTAGTCTTTTATGCCATAATTCGATATCACAATCCTTTCTAAAGGGTCTCTGATTCTGAACAGTATTTGCCAAAACAGGGGTATCTGTCACTTTTAGCACATAAAGCCCTTTATACTCTTTACCAATCATCTTCATCCTCCCATCCTGAAGGCCCTGCAGTACATAGAGATCAGGAAAGAAGGCTGCCATGCAAATGTGTTCCTTTGTAAATCTAGATATGGATATCAGGTTAAATTCAAGACGTGGTGCATACAGAACATCATGCATAATAACATTTTCAGCAATAGTGACAGAACCAACATGAGTGATAGGTAATCTATCTCCATTCGGTATTTTAATTGTCTTAATCGGTCCATTATACTGCTTATAATCATCAAACAAGTCTAATTTACTAGCCATGTGAGTGGTTGCCCCAGAATCTAAAATCCAGTGTGTGTAAGTTTTAAAGTTTGGTATAGGATTGATCAAACCTGTACCCGTTAAAGCGTGTACCGTAGGCTCCACATCTTTGTTCAACATCTCCAAGATTCTTTCATATTGCTCCTTAGTGAAGGTCGGAGCTACTGTTGTGACGGCGTGGCCTTGAGGGTCAGGGTCTTTGACTGAATCAGCTCCCCCTTGCTGAAATTCCCTCTGCTGTCTCCCTTTGTTTCCTCTGAAATTGGCTGGATACCCGACAATCTAGAAACAATTCTCCCGAACGTGCCCCTTCTTATGGCAGTGAGAGCATTCGGGTGTAGTGTCGCCTCTGCCTCTTCCTCGACCACGTCCCCTTCCTCTTGCGGCCATTGCCAATCCTTCAGTGGGGATGTGTCTATCTGCATATGAGATAGAACGCTGAGTTTTGTCCTGGACTATCATTACATATGCCTCGTTTACTGACGGGAGAGGAGACATCAGTAAGATCTGGCTTCGTGCCTGATTGAAAGTCTCGTTGAGACCCATCAAGAACTGCAACAGCTTTTGTTCTTGTATGGCGTCCGAATATGCCTTCGCCGTTGCACACGAACAGGAAGGAATTGCCACGAGTGCCGCCTATTCTTCCCAAAGTTCTTTCAGCTTCGAAAATTATATGGTAACCGGGTTCGTGCCTTGCCGAAGGGAGCTAATTTCCCTGTGAAGAGCGAAGACGCGAGATCCACTCTTTTTGTCAAAACGTTCCTTCAGTTCGATCCAAACAGCGTGCGAGTCTTGGAAGTATATGATTCCGCTGGCTAACTCCTTCGAGATGGAATTAAGCAACCAGGAGAGAACAACCGCGTTACACCGTTCCCACTGCGGTCTGAGACGCTCTTCTTGGTCGGCTTTCTTGCAAGTGCCATCGATGAAGCACAATTTATGTTTGCCGAGCAGTGCGATCGTCATCGCTCGGGACCAAACAGTATAATTTTCAGTCTCGGTGAGAATATGGGGTATGATCGCCGTCCCCTGCGTGTCGGACGGATGCAAGAACAATGGATGTGAGAAAGGGATACCTTCGACTGTGCCTTTCTCATCTCCCATCGGATCGGTCGAGTAGGGTTCCGGTGCGGTGTGTCAGTGTGTTGGGCCTGAATCGGCAGGGTCCCTTCGTAGCCCTAAACGATCGTGCTCCGTGGCTCTGATGCCATGTTGAACACCGACCTGCTCCAAGAATCCCTAAAACACACGACTACGGACTGGAAGAGAATTATTTTATTGAATCACAACTGAGAAGGAATTCGCATAGATGGGCCAACAACAGACCCAATATTTATATACAATGCGCAGCTCTATGATCCTAACTAAACGGCTCACAAGAATGGGCCACTGATGGGCTTACAGAAACGAAGTACAACCAACAACAAATACAAATAAATTTATTCTAATATTTCCAACAATTATGCTCAACCGTACCAATAATTATCAATCTTAAGATGATTGTTGTCGACAAAGGGAAAAGAACACCCAGAGTAATGTTAAAAGCAACCAAAAATTCATTGATCCATTATCAGTAATTATGCACATACTTCTCCAATTGCAGCCAAAGTTTGCTGCTGATCCGGTGTCCGGCTTAGCAAATTGTCCAAGAAAAACTGTACAGATCTCCTTACCTGGAAATCACAGTAGGCATTCGTAACTGTAAGATGTGTATTACAAGTAAAAGCACTGAACCAAGATAAACTGTACAGATCTCCTTAGATAGAAGACACATAAAGGCATTTATAGCTCTTGGACACCGATTATGAATAAAAGCACTGAAATAGAAATCTTATCGAGTCGAAGAAGTTTATTTACTTACTGATGATAAGTCTCCACTGGGTTGAAGGGCACCAAGATCAACAAGGCATTGCATAAGCTGCACCATTGCTGCATGTTAGTTCTAACATTTTTGCGATAAAAATCTTTACTTTCATCTTACTAGATGCATGAGTTAGATCTTCTGGGAATAGTTTGAGCAAGAATCTCACTCAAAGAAAGCTAATAGCCAAGGAGAATCTCTAAGAAAACAATGAAATTCTGATTATGACTCAAGATACCTTTTACAAATTGACATGCGATTGTTTATAAGTAAGAGAATTCGCCAAACTCCCTAAAGTATATGGACCACTAGCAAACTGACTCTGAAAGTGGCATAGCAGACCTCAACATGTTTAATTTAAATAATAAAAATACCTAAAATGAGATACTTGACTAATAACTGACACCTACTACTAGGAGTGTTCAATTTGTCCTGTCCTGGTCGTTCCGTCCCGGTCCCGGTGAGTTCGGGACGGACAAAAACGGGACGGGACGGGAGGGACGCAGGACGGGGTCGTCCCGTCCGTCCCATCCCGGAATTTTTTTTCTTTTAAAAATTATTTATTAATAATTATTATTAGATTATTCAATTTACTTATTAATAATAACTCTTATTTTTATGGTGATTTGTAGCTCTTAAGTTGTAGTAGTATCTTAACAAAATCTCCTTCGTCAATAAAATAATTTATAAAGTCATTATATAGTGTTTTTTTTTACGGTATTTTTTTTACACTATTATTTTTACACCTTTTTTATGCTATATAATTAAACTTTCTACATAATATTTTTTCTAATGTTTTTATCTTTAAAAGCCCAATAAAAAATAAGTATTATAACATAAAAAAATTCATATAAAAAATTATGGTATCTTTTTTTTAAAAAAAAAAGGGTTAAGGTGCGCCCAGCACCCCGAACTATTTACCCAGGTGCGTCTAGTGGCCTAAAGTAATTTTGGGTGCATCCAGTATCCTAAACTAATTAAAATGGTGTGTCCATATCCCAGGCTAACAGAAATGTTATGTTTAACTGTTACTTTCCTGACTCTGCTTAAAGTTGACCCCAGATATTCTACATGGTAGACACATGGGCACCCGATGTGTATTATTCTTACTCAAAAGTCAATTTATTTAGAAGAAGAGGAAGGAAATAAATTCAATTTTGAGTAAGAATAATACATATCGGGTGCCCATATGTCTACCATGTAGAATATCTGGGGTCAACTTTAAGCAGAGTCAGGAAAGTAACAGTTAAACATAACATTTCTGTTAGCCTGGGATATGGATGCATCATTTTAATTAGTTTAGGATACTGGATGCACCCAAAATTACTTTAGGCCACTGGACGCACATGGGTAAATAGTTTAGGGTGCTGGACACACCTTAGCCCTTTAAAAAAAAGGGGAAGCGGGACGTCCCGGTCCTGTCCCGGTTTCGTCCTGGTACTAACGGGACGGGACCGAGACGGGCCTGTCCCGGTCCCGTCCCGTCCCATGAACACCCCTACCTACTACCCCTAAACTTAGGTGACATCTAAACTGACCACTAATAAACAAACTATATATTCTGCCAAGAAATAAAGTCTGCTATATTACTGCTTTACAAATGACCTCCTTCTACCATAGGTGATAAGTGGTCTGTTACTAGATAATTATTCCCCCACATTCTATAAAAGGAATCAACAAAAGTTCACAAAGATATAAAATGTTCTAATACAAATAAATCGACCCATAGCAGTCGTGAAAAATGTTTAAACATTTCCATTTCTTAATTATCAAGCTCTCTTCAGTTTTGGACCAGCCAAAGAATCATTTCATAAGATACTAGAAGCAGACGGAGGAAGAAATTTATCCTGAATAGGATATCGAAGTATCTATCATTTGACAGTCGACAGTTAGAATGAGATAATATATAAAATTTGAAGTGAACCATGACAGACAGCAGAAAGCTAGACCTTCTTAGCATCCTTCTCATAGACAGAATAAAAAAGTTCAAGCAGCCTCTCTCGGGTGAATGACCTGATATCCCCCATCATGCCAAAGTCATAATAAATAAGTGCTTCATCCACATCAACAGCAAGATTTCCAGGATGAGGATCAGCATGAAAGAATCCGGTTTTAAGCATCTGCAAGAAGCAAAATGTGATATATTTCCACCCAATACATTTTCACTCTTGTTGACAAGGTATAGAGTTGTTTAAATTTTTTTTTTTTTTGGTTTTCCGGGGGGGGGGGGAGGACAATATGCATAAAAGTGCATTTTTAATTCTCAGCAACAGAAAAGTAATCATATTCAAATCAAATACCTGAATCAAGTATGCTTCAATAGCACGTGATGAGATCTTCATTCGATCACAACCTCTTGACGTTAGGGTATCCACCTGATTTATTTTGATACCTAATCCAGAAGTAAAATCATGATAAGATGGGTTAAGAAATTAAGTTCAGTAAAACAATGACATGCAATTTTTCAACTTGAAAAGTATTATTAGGATCCATTGGTAAAACCAAAAAGATTAAAAAAAAAATTACGTTAAAGTGCCAAAGAAGGAATCTAAATCTAAACACACAAAAGTATCATGAAATCTACAAATAACTCGCAAGTCACTTATGTGTCAATAAGTTTTCATACCCAATTACTAATATACCTCCATTAAAAATTATTAAAAACAAAAACTTAAGCTACAAGCGGCTAGACCTCTAGCGACCAATGGTCAATTTTTAGATGGGGAGGTCTTAATAGGATACAACCCCAAACCATTTGTTTCCTAAATTGGTTGTTAACTATTGACAGTCAACACTAGTTTTTCAATGATGGGGCAATATTGTTACGATTTTAAACTTTCGAGATAAATTTGGACCCAAAATACTTTCGAGTGCTTAGTGCTCTTGAGTGAAAACTTCTAAGACAAATTTACACCTTAACCCAAATAAAAATAATAACTTGGGGGTATGTAAATAACAACTTGGGTTTGAATAGAAAACAATTCAATTTTTTGTGAATAGAAACTTGAGTCTATAGAAATAGCAACTGAGCTATGTGTCTATAACAACTTGAATTTGTAGATATAACAACTTAGTTTAATGTAATGACCATTTCACTTTAAGTTATTATTTACTTAAACCCAGCAGTTTGTTTACTGATACCAAACAAGGACAAGGGCAAGGAGATAGTTTTGAGTTAAGGAGGCCTTATGAATTTTGTGACAATGTAACGTCATTATATTGTATTTGAAGAATTTTAATATAATTTTATAAAGAGCCTTGGAAAATGTGAATCTATAACCATGCATTTATAATATGGTAATATTGTTATGAATGTTGGTTTTGGTATAGCTGGTTGGTGTGGCATGAAAAAGAGGAAAGAAATTCAAGAAATTATGAATAGGGGATAAAAAGGGTTTAAAATTGGACGATCTTGTGATACAGAAAATAATGAGCAAATGAATGAATTGGGACCTAAGATTTTGCAAACTTATAGATCTCATTTTTAGCTTTAAATCAAGTAGGAGATCATCAAATTTGGAATTTTGTGTTAAGAGTTATGGCCTTCCAAAGTTAGGCTAAAATATCAGAAAATTAAAAAATTACCAAATGAACAGTGCAACTTTGTGAATTTTCTGACTCTGTTTTGTGATGATATGTAACAATGAGTATTTTTCCCTAAAAGAAAGTATTGCAAGGTTCAAATAGAGCTTAGAACCATCTCATTTTGATTTTTCTACAACTAGTTATGAGTTTTCAAAGTTTGCCAAAAATTCAGTGTTGGATGAATAGCAACTTAGGTCTAAATTTTTAAATTTGGAATTTTCTTACCTTTAAGGTTTAAATAATAGTTCCAAATGGCTCTATTTGTGATATAATGTGAGATAAAAGGAGGTGTAACACTTTTTGGTATCATAGCAAAGGTTCTGGCTTTGTATAGTTCCACTGTATTGATTAATGCATGATTAATTGTTAGTTATTATTTGTGAATTGATTGTATTAGGCTGTGTATTATGGAGTTGATATAAGTGCAGAAAGAAAGAATGGCTTGTTGTGAAGCAAATCTAGGGGCATAGTGAATCAGAAAATATGGGGGGAACCATACCTAGACTGGTACCATTCACTAGTTGAAGACCCTAACAACCCTACTCCACCATTAGGGTACAACCAGCTATTAAGTGAGATAGAGGACATACACTCAGAGGTAAATTCCAACCAGATCATATAGCTCAACAATGATGCTCAAAGTGTCATGAGACCTAGACCAAATCTAGATGAAGCAGGCCCTAGCACAATCAGGGAAGTGCTTATTAGTGTGGTAAGACCTGATCAGATCAAGGCTAAGGACCTGCCAATTATGAAGAGACCCTTATTGGTGAAGAAAGAATCCAAAGGGTATGTGATATTTTTCTAGAATTCCTGGAATTGAGAAGACATATTGATCAGACACAGAACCAGTACGCCACCATCTATATGGATTACCTCTTTTATGTGAGGTTGTTGCATAATGAGGTAATCGAGGAGAATCCAAATGCAGATGACACCCTCTGGAGCTAGGTATTGCTAGCACTGCAAGAAAAAAGACTTTTAACGGTGGTTATTAGTGGTTTTCATGGTAGTTTTGGAGGCAAAGTTGATATAGTCGACGTTGAAAGGTTTACAAAACACTGTGGTTGAGAACTGCCGTGAAAAATTGATTTTCCATGGTTGTTATGTAAAAGACCGCCGTGGGAAGTTTGATTTCCACAGCGGTTATTAACAAAACCGCCGTGGAAAGTTAACTTTCAATGATGATTTAATTAATAACTGCTGTTATAGTGTCATTTTCCACGGCGGTTTTTTACATAACTGCCGTGGAACTGCCGTGGAAAAGAGTTTTAATGGTGGTTATTTAATAACTACCATTAAAATTTAATTTTTTAAAAAAAAAACATTTTGCGTGATTTTCTTGTTTACCACCCTGCAGTTTACAGTTCCAAATAAATATAGGCAGTACAGAATACATAGAACAAGACCATATGGACAATTAATTAACTAGCTAATTAATATATACATCAAGCATTGAAATTTCTTTTAACATAGGCACAAAGCAAAAATAGAGAACCAAGAGAACTCAGGGGAACCTAAGACCAAAAAACATGTATAGGAACTAAAAAGACCAGTATCTTGAAATAAAAGTAACAACTTCTGTCTGTACAATAAAAATAATGAACATGTGTAGGAGGAAACCAAGAGAAAATATCTAACAATGAATTTTTTGAGGAATGACCTAATTATTTGAAAGTTTCAGCATTCTATAACAATATTGTTGACAAAGTGTCCCTCATCAAGTTGATGTCATCCATGGGATATGGCGTAACATTTTGAAATACCTGTTAATAAAAAATAACATAGTGAACTTAATAAAAAATGTGAAATGAATTGAAGAATGTCTTGCAATGTAACTTATATTTACCTCGTCTAATTTCTTAGTCACCCCTGTTTCAATAATGTCATTCATATAGCGAATAACATAATATCGACATTCAACATGTCCTTGTTGACAAAATGAAATATAAAATTGAATATTAGACATTATTGATTATAAACATGAACTTTAATTCATCTAAAAAAGGTTTAAAAGTATATATTTAGCTCAAAACAACATACTTTTGGGAGAATCCATGTTGGTAGTTGTCTATTTTGTTTAATCGCCACAACATTAAAACTATGAAAAGCCCTATCAACAGTATAAAAGAAAATGATATTAGAGCATGTTTTTATAAACTTCACACGTAATAAATATATAAACATAAACTAATGTGTCGATGACATCTCTGGTTTCTTCGGATGGACTTCCACAGAGAAAATCAAACCAGTATAACTTAACCTCTAGAAATGTAGAGGTTAGCTTTAAATTATTTAAAGCTGGAATTTTTATGGGTAAAGGATCAATTTTGGAGAAAATTTAATTAGAAGAGTTATAGACCAAAATAAAATTTGAGAAAATTTGGGAAATCATTTCTCATTTAGAGAAAGCTATTGGTGCAAGGAAATAAGTTTTTTGAGACAGTGAATTTAATAGGATTTGAGAAAAATTCAACCAGTTCTGTGAAATTACACTATGTGGACCTTAAGCTTGGTGAGGTCAAATTTTGTTTTCCTATTTTTCTGACTTGAATGGTGCCATTTATACAGATTGAGGACCTACATGGAATAATACAATTTATTTAGGATATAGTTGCAAGAATGGATTTTTTTTAATAAAATATATGGAATTTCACATGTAGATGATTAGGTGTCCTATGAGGTGGCATTTTGCATTAAATGTGGAGAAAACCTCAGTCCCTATATGGTGCCATATCAAGGGAGAATGGAAGAAACTTGTACATCTATATGTGATAAAAAAAACAAGGGCTAGCATGGTAACATGTGGCAAGTTAATTCTATGAGTAGACTGCCTACAGAAGCAAGGGGAGTGATTAGTTCTAATTGTTTGTGATTGTTTCCCTAATGCCTCTTTATGTGTGGTTAAGAAGCATGAATCATGGTATGTTGATCTAGCTATCTCTCTCTCTCTTAGATTGATTCCTCCCTATTTTTCTAGGTTCAGGTACACAAACTGAAGAGTGACGCATACAAAGGTTATTAAGAAGTTAGACAAGGTAAATATAAGTTATATTGTAATTCTTCAATTCTTTTCACAATTTTTTATCCAGTTGACTAATGAATTTGTTATTTTTAGTTTACAAGCATTTCAAGATAGTGTGTCATATGACCCTGAAGAAATCAACTCAATAAGAGATACTTTGTCAATAACATTACTTGAGAACTTTGAAAACATGAATTAGTTAAGTTATTCACATTTTAGTTCATTGTTTATTATATATGTTTAGTTGAAATATTAATTAGTTAAGTTGTTGATTATTAGGTGTAGTTGATTGAATAAGAATTGGAAACATTAGTTTTGTTTGTGTTAGGTTTGAATTTATGTCTTGAAATGGTTTTGTATTTTTTTGTTATGCTTGTTAGAATTGGTCTGTAATCGGCATTCTAGGAAGGTTGCATAGAAAATTGAATCAAAATTTGTATTTGAAAAAAAAAAAAAAACCTTTCACAGCATGAAAGAGATTTTTAACAATGGTTACACAAAGTAACCACCATTAAAATCAAACTTTCTATAGCAGTTAAGTTATAAAACCATTTTGCCCAGTTACTTTTTCATGGCGATTACTTTATAAAACCATCGTAAAAACTAGTTTTTCATGGTTGTTATAAACTGTCGTGAAATTCTTTGTTTATAATGTCAACAGGATTCACTATTTCTTAAAAGCCACTATGAAAAGCGTTTTTTAATTGCTGTTAAAGGTCTTTTTGTGGTAATGTTACAAGGACTTTATCGAAAATATGCCCAAGATTTTAAACGGGCTTGATCGAAAATACAGTGGATAACACCTGGTCAAAAGAAAAAAAGGGTCCCACCATTTAAGATGGACGGACGTTTGGTGGGTTAACAAAGCTAGCATTTTAGACCTATTTTGAATTGATTGTAAGTGTATTTAGACCAGTGTTTTAAAAGCCGGACCGGATATCAAACCGGAAAGATCAACGGGTCATGGTTCAAACGGTCAGATCGGTTGAACCGTCTGGTCAGACCGGTAACATAATAATTAAATAAAAATAATATTATATAAACATATGATAACATATGTGTGTAAAAAAATAAAAAATCAAATTGTTAGATAATTTGAAAATATAAGTATATAGTTCAATTTCATCATTTTAGTAGCAATTCAACCCATCATAGTTAAAATATTATCAATGTTACGCTAATTAATTTTAATATAAATGAAAACTGATTCTAATTTATCTTTAAATAAACCAAGAATTAGTTTACAATTTATTTAATGTCACTTTTGTAATTGTGATGAAATATATAAAAAAATGTCTTTAAAAAATTATTCAGAAAAAATAGTTAAAAAAAGAGGATGAAAATATTAATGTAAACTAAGGTGATTAAATAGTTATCTATTTGTTAAAAAAATAGTAATTTAAGAAGTCAAAGAATAAAAAAAAGTTGATGACTTGGAAAATAATAATCATCATCATCAAATATACGTTTATTATTTTTGCCAACTATAAAATATGCATTTATAATTACGTTGAGATTTGTTATATGACATGTTTTATATTTAAAAAATACTCATAAAAAATAAAAATCAAAAGTAAAATGTGTAAAGTCTTGTCAATACGCGTTTTACCACAAGTCTGCAACATTTAAAGTTATCTTCCCTTCTCTATGTGAGCCGATCAGACACTTTCCCCTAAGCAGTTGAGCTGTCCACTTTCTGCAACTATTTTCTTCTTCACTCCCACAATGTCGACTACTGAATTTCGCAAGGTCTAAAACGGCATGGATGGAGGTTGCAACTTGCATCTATGGAGAAAGAAGGAAAAGAAAATGTTATTGGTAAATTTTATTAATTTTTGTTCTTCGATTTTATTATCATCTCCATCCCCTTTTCTTTTTCCTTCTTCATCGTTGTAATTTTTGCCATAACACCACCACGAACCCATGGAGAAAGATGAACAAGGGAGAAAATGAGTTGGCTTGACGGTAGAAAAAAGACGAAGCAAGTGGTGAGCAACAGAAATTTCAGACTCGTTTGGTTTTCTTGAAACTGCTCCGGCTTCCGGCTTTAATCCGAATTCCGGCTCAAATGCCGGCTTAGGACGGCCTAAAGCAGTCCAATCCTTTGAACGGTTAAAACATCCCAACCGAACCGGGAAGATGAACGGGTGAAGGTTGGACCGGTCTGACCGTCCGGTCCGGTCCGGCTTTCAAACCATTGATTTAGACCCATGATTTGTTTATGGTCCAGCTGCACTTTTGACAATTGTTCATGGATATTTTTGTACATTTGCTCTAAGAACTAACGTTGCAAAGCCAAAACCTATAGCTCAAAATTATAGATATCAAAACCAAAATAAAAACAGATTATATAGCCCGAACATCATATTAATACTTTGTCAAATTATCAAAAACACGCAAGTAAATAAGCATGCAAGTCATGTCTTGTTGCTGCGAGAGATTTGACTTTTTGACCACTGTTGAAGAGTCACGCAGACACGCAGGATTGCTTTTTCAACGTTGCAGTTGCGGGGTCATCTTCATTTGAGTGACGATGTCCACTTTGTTGGGTATATTTTTAGTCCTCCAGTCCTTTCATATCTACCTACCCCCTTTAATTTGGTTCTTGGACGTAGTACTCTCCCTTACGCCAGGTACTGGGTAATCAAGGGATTGAGATGCTCTAAGAATTCTTTTCCCTTTTTTCCCTTCTCACAATCTCATCTCCACTATTAAATTAAAATATCATTATAATACAATAAAAATAATTAAATAGATTTAAATAGTTAAAATTTATTTTTTTAAATAACATATCCAATTATAGTATATGAAAGAAGAAAAATACATGAAGTTAGGCATACATGCATAATTGAAGAACACAATAAACGAGGCATAACATAAAAGCTACAATTAAAATTGCTTCAAACAGTTTAATCTCTGCATAATAAAAAAGTTTAACTCATAAAATATCTTAATAATAGTTTTATACAATAGTACATCTGAATCAATTTTTTTATATTTAATAGTACAAATGAGATTATGAGGAAAAATGAGAGAGTTGAAAATTCTAAAAGAATTTTGAATCCGCTTTTCCTTGTGATGAGGTTTTGGCTACTAATGGTGGAGGACTTCGAATTTCAAACCATGGCCCAGAGCGATAAAAGACTAGAGCTAACCTAATTTATCTATAATAAACAGACTCATCCCTTCACTATTCTTCATCCATCGTCCTCTCTCTCTCTCTCATCATGCTTCTGCAACTGCAACAAAAGGCCCCCCTCTTCTTAAGCCTCATACTCTGCTCATGGTGGACCTTTGACGGCGTCGTTTCAGATCCGCAGGGTACTATTTTGAAAATGCGGTGCAGCAAACACAACGCCAGTGACGTGTCCATCTTTCATGAGAACCTAAACGCGACATTACAGCACCTGAGAGAGCAAGTCAGAGACCAAAGCAAACACTTCGCCACGGCACAGTCATTGAAAGGCCACAATCCCGCCTATGGTCTTTTTCAGTGCAGAAACTACCTTTCCATTCCTGACTGTCTCGCTTGCTTCGACTCCGCCGCTGTGAATGCACGAAACTGCTCCGTGGGATTGAAGTGGGCTAGAATCCTCTACGATGACTGCTTTCTCAGGTAAAAGTACTCCAACTTTGATTTGACAAAAAATAAAAACCATCACAATGCGCTCATTGCTGTAATACTACATCCGATTCTAATTATAAGAGCTAGTTGACTAATTTGAAAAAATTAAAGAAATAAGTTGAGTTAGTTATTTGTTCTAAATAGGTGTTGTCTTTCTTAAAATATCTTTGCTAATCAAGTGTATTGACTAGAACTATTATTGTTAGAAGGGCTATTTTGAAAAAAAAATGTATAAATATGAGAGACAAAGTAGATTGGGATCTTATATTTAAGATCAAAATAAAAGTCAAATAGGGTCTTATATTAAGAACCGAAGGTAGTATAATTTAAGCAGTCTAAGATTTAATATAGATGATTTAAATTTAAAATATTTAACATGCAATTTTTGTTAATGATAGATTTATTTTTTAAAGAAATGTTAGTTGTAAGATTTTCTTTATTTTAAATTGTATATCTATTAAAATAAAAAATTGATTAAAATACATAAAACTTTAAATTCAATTTGAACCATTCAAAATCAATCTAAATAGTTCAAATTAAGATAAACACTTTGAGCACAGAATGTGCCCTCAAAAAAAAAAAAAAAGGGAAGATGTTAATTGGGGGCTTAATAACCGACACTCATGTGATGAATTTTGTAAGCCTGTCAATTCTTCTTCTTTTCTCTGGAAAAAAAAAACAATATTATTAATACCCATGATTACATATATGAAAGAAAAAGAAAAGAAGAACTATTATAAGGTCTCAAGAAAAAAAAAATTAATTACCAAAAAATCTCAATGACAAATAAACAGCATAACAGTTGTTGGTTTTTATACTAAAACTTGTTATTATATACTCCTTAGTTGTCAATGGATTTTAGGATAATTAAATCCTTTCTTGAGTAGGCTATTACAAACATAATGACTGGCTATCAAAGTAGGTCATTACATATACTAAAAGCAAGTGCATACACCATATGGAAGAGATTGACAAAACAGTGGTGTCATTGAGATGGTGTCCCTTCTAAACAAGTCAATTTTGCCACATATATTCTCTTTCATATACAAATAGTCAAAGGTAACAATCCAATGATACACGGTAAGATCTCCAATTTCTATGATCAAATTGATAGCCAGATGATTCATGAGTGTTCGCTATCGATGCAAAGATTATTAAAGCCTTTTTCCTATGACTATGGTTCTAACTAAACTATACCGCTTTTAACAATCTTCATATTAACTTCAGTCCTTAATATAAAAACTAGTTAACTAATTTAAGTATATTAAAGAAGTTTGTTAAATAATCAGGCGTCATTTTCTCTAAAATATCATTGCTAATCATGTGTATTAGTTAGAACTATTATTTGATGGAATTTTCAACATGTACAACTACTATAATGACTACTTTAAAAAATAAATAAATAAATATGAGAGATAAAATGAATTGGGGCTTATATTTAAAGCCAAAATAAAAATCAAACTAGCTTTTTATATTAAGGATTAGAGGTCATATATAACCTATATTGAAGAGAGCCGGTCCAACTACTCCCTCCATCCTTTAAAAAAAAAAAAAAAAAACCACCTTCTCTACCTTCTCGTCAAATTTTTGGCTAGTTTTCCCATTTCACCCTCACTAAGTACTTGTTTTAATACTTAATATATTTATTATCTTATTATACTGAAGCATCATTGGTTCATTTCCTTATTCTCACTTATACAATCTCCCCTGTATTTTTGATTAAAAAAATTACAATTTTTGTATATTTATTGTTTCTAACCAATTTTAACTATTTTTTTTTTTATCTACATGATATTGTTAAATGTTTCTTATAAAAAGACAATAAGGAAGTAATAAAGAAGAGAACGTAAAAATATTATTTGAATCGCAAGTTAATGATTTAATGCTTCATTATTGGACATTGAATCTTGGGAGTCATTTTAAAAGTTGAGATCCTTACATGGGTTTGGTTGGGGAAAAATCCTTACGTGTGATTCATTTTATTGTAGCTCCTGGATATTCGTGAATAACGTTATTTAATATGTTACATATATTTGACTGAAATAAAATGATTATTTATAAATTTGGAAAACTAATGTCTAATAATAGTCTCATTTCTTTAATTTGGCATCAAATAATAATGGCCTTTTTAGAATGAAAATTAACCAGTTAAGAAGAATGAAAACTTGATTTAATTAATAATATGTCTCTAAGAAGTAATGAAACTAGAAGTTATGAATAGAGCATGCTAGACGTATTTTCATTTGTATTTCGGAAATTTTCTGTGTTCTAAAGGACGTTTGCAGTAAGCTATCTTCCAAAGAGACAGATACTTTTCGACCCTAAATATAGACAATAGTTACGAATTTTGATTTGGTATTATAGGTAAAATCCCAATAATTCATTTTGTCTATCAAATTAAATATTTTCCTGAGTTATAATATTGATAGGATATATTAAAAGGGTTTTCAATAATAGAAATAATGATTAAAGGAATATTTTAACTTCTTCAACCTAGCCAAATACCGAAAAAGACATTTGGCGACAACCTTTTATATGCCTTTGATGCGTGTTTGATGCAGGTACGACAACCTTTACTTCTTCAACCTAGCTAGAGACTACCCTAGTAGCATATTTTGTGGGAAGCAAGTGAAAAATTCCTCTATGCTTGCCTCAACGGCGCAAGAAGTGCTAACGAATTTGAACATAGTAATCCCAAGAATCCCAAATTTTTTTGCAGCTACCAAGACACCTGTGCCTAATAGTCATGGCTTATATATTTATGCCTTTGCTCAATGTGTTGAGACAGTCTCACAAAGTGGTTGCCAGGATTGCCTTTACCATGCGTTAATCAACTTTCATACTTGTCTTCCCAACTCAAATGCGAGGGCTTATGAAGCTGGTTGTTTCATGAGATACTCCACAAATGCCTTTTTTGCTGATAATCAAACCATTGATATCAACCACTTTTTGAAACAAGGTATGGTTTTAAACTTCAAATAGATTGCATATTTTACAGGCACTTAATTGGGTCAGAATATTTTGAATAAATGTTGAGATATATGATTATTCACTGCTACTGATGCTTTTTGTTTGGTTGAGATTTACTTAGAATGCATTATCTAGTTTAGACTAAGAAGTATGTAAAATGATAGGGAATGGGGGGAAAAATCTAAATGTGTTATGCCAAGTGTACAAATCCTAAGCCATTTTGCTTAAACACTTGCCATGTGTTATGCCGCCTAATCACACATGTGATCACAAATAATATTTTATTACACAATTCCATTTCTTCCAAACATGCATCTCAACAAATTGTATAATTTCCTCCATGTCCCCTCATTAAATTTGCATTAAAATAGGGAGCAAAATAAGGAGAAATTTGTGCTCTCTCTTATCCTTAATTATTCCTCCACCTATTTTATTTTACATCAGTATCGGGTACTTTTTTGGGTCTTAACTTACCCTATAACCCTGGGACATATTCTGGTACCTTTTTTATTATAGATAACCTTACATGGCATTATATAACATGCATATAGAGGGGGGATGCTCTTCCCTTTGTTCTTTTATTAAAACATTTAATGATATTTATTTCAGAATAAACTTGATTACATTCTCTTTATCGGTTCATGAATTTGAGAATCTGTCTCTGGGTACTAATACTGCCATTTCATTATGAGGAAATTCTCTAAATTTTATCAGCCCAAAAGTCAACCCATAAACATTTCAGATAGCGTATAAAAAAGTTTTAAATTTTGTTAAAGCCAACAACTTTGCTTTCTAGGGACGAAATCATTTTTAAAACCTATAATAATTCCTCAGGTATTTATTTCTGATTTTTCTCCAATTATCTGAGATCTCCTCATATTTTAAATAATTTAATTTTTGCTAGTATTCATAATTAGCCAAAAATCTAGAAATTTTATCAATTTGCTCTAGTGGTATTTTTGTTATTTTTAGCCTCGTACAGGCCTCAAAACCTCATTTCTCATTTTTCTGAAATTTTTGCAGAATTTTTGGGCATACTTTCCATTACTATCCTTTCCGGTCCAAACTTTCTGAATTTATGATTAAGTCCTTGCTTAGGTTTAGCCTGAAGGATTATCTCACTGAGGTTTCCAATATAACTTTTTTCCCTTAACCATTTCTAATTCCCATACCCGAGCTCTTGAGACTTTATCAAAGTCTCTAACTTGCCTGTCTTGTGATTTAGAAAATCCTTACTTTGTGATTTAGTCTTTAGGAATCTTCTTATCTTTCCAGGAGACTTTTGGAACTCTTGCTAAAAGGGAGTCTAATAGCCTGCCCATTTTAAGTTAATTTTGGTACTTCTAAATCTAAAATTCAAGATGTTACATTATGCTACATAATGCACATGTGATTATAAAACAATATTTTATTATAATTTAACTTTTTTCAATTATACCCTTAGACAAATTGTATATCCTTTCATGTCCCCTCATTAAATTAACATTAAAATAGGAAATAAGATAGAGAGAAATTCATACTCCCTCTCACCTTTGACTATTCTTGCACTTATTTCACAATTTTATACTATATCGAGTACTTTTTCAGGTCCTGACCTATCCGGTACTATTAGGACATGTTTTGACACCCTTTTTCTTCACAAATAATTTCACATGGCATTATATATGCATGCAGATAGAGAGAGATGCTTTTCCTGTTGTCTCTCTATTAAACATTTAATAATATTTATGTCAAAGTAAATTTAACCAAATTCTTTCTATCAGTCCATAACTCCGAGAATCTATTTTTGGGTACTGCTAACTTTTTTTTTCATGAAGAATTTGTCTAATTTTTTTCAAGTCAAACTCTAACTTATGAGTAGTCTATTTTGACTTTCTCGAGATACCCTCCTCTCTGTAAAATTCGGCTTTAAATTATTCTAAAGCTAACCTCTTTTCTTTTAAGGGTTGGGGGTACTTTTACAATCTTACGTAATTCTTTAAATAATTATTTCCCATCTTTGTCTAACTATTTTAGGCCTTCTTATATTTTAAATAATTAATTTTAGTCAATTTATTAAAAATCCATTTCATGGGTATTTTCATCATTTTTAACCTTGGATGGGCCTAAACACCTCATTTCCCATTTTTTGAAATTTTCAGGCATACTTTCCATCAATAACCTTTTCGGCCTGAAACCTTTCAAAATTACAAGTAGGTCTCTACTAGGGTTTAACTTCAAGAATCATCCCTTTGAGGTTTTAAGTATAATCTTTAGCTCATATTCATTCTCATTCTTCTTACTTAGCACTCGAGACTTCATTAGAGTCTCTATCTTTCTTATTTCTCGATTCCAGAAAACTTTCACCTTGCAAATTAGTCCCTGAGAATTCTTTTATCCTTTCAGAAAACTTCTGGGACTCCTGCCAATTAGGATCCAATAACTTGCCTATTTTAGGCTATTTCTTATATCTCTAGACCTAAAATTTGGGATATTACACAATTCATTCAAGGATTTAAATATAATACCTAATTGCAACATATGACAATTTAATTGTTTGTATGTACTTTTAAACTTTATGTTGGATATGCATCATGTTAATTAGTGTTAACTTGGATTGTTTTTTTCCCTTGCAGGTTCAAGGGATAAAGGGGCTATCATTGGTGAAGTTTTCGGAGGTGCAGCATTTGCTTTTATCCTTCTTGCATTATTTGCTTGGATTAGACTACCAAAAACTACTAAGGCTTCCATAGGTAAATACTATTTGAAAGGTTTACAATTAATATATATGTATGTATTAGTTTTAAAAGGCTAAACATGATGCTTTGGTTTTAATATTTTACATAAATGAAAAAGTGAGTGATGGATGTTTATTTCTAAGAATGAATGGTTTTTTCCTTTTTAATTTATGAAGCATATCTAATTGATGTTTTCACCAACAGGAGACATAATTGAAGCAACCAATTTGAATGGTCTGGTTACTTACAACTATAACGAGTTGGAGTATGCAACTAATAATTTTAGGGAACAAAATAAACTAGGAGAGGGTGGATTTGGTGCTGTATATAAGGTAGATTTCTTGTACTTCCAATATTTTTAATCAAAAACATGTTCTCTCTAAACTTAAGTTGTCTCTTACACAAGTCATGAATATAATTTCATAATTGAAATTCTTAATTCTAATAAACAGGGAAATTTGAAAAATGGAAAAGTAGTTGCAATCAAGAAATTAAATTTATGCAGCTCAAAAAGGATACAAGAAGATTTTGAAAGTGAAGTGAAGCTTATCAGTAATGTTCATCATCGCAACCTTATCCGACTTTTGGGATGGTGTATTAAAGACTATGATAGAATCCTTGTTTATGAGTACATGGAGAACAACAGTCTTGACAAATTCATATTCGGTAATATCCTATCAATTACAATATTTTATACTATTCATTAAGTGTTTCCTAATATTCATCTTTATCACATTATAACTTGTGCATATATTTTTAACCAAACCACATAATTACAAAAATATTTGTTAAGTACAAGCAAACATGTATAATTGTCTTCTATCTCCTGAGCATTATTTCATCATGATTCTTTCTACTTTTGCACTGCTAGCCCTCATCATTTATAAGCTTGAAAACAGGTAAAAGGAAAGGTTTTCTCAACTGGAAGCAGCGATATGATATAATTCTAGGCATGGCAAGGGGTTTGGCCTATTTACATGAAGAATTACATATTCGTATAGTACATAGAGATATAAAGCCTAATAACATCCTCTTAGATGATGATCTTCAGCCTAAAATTGCTGACTTTGGATTGGCAAGACTTTTACATGAGGAGAAATATCATCTTAGTGCAAACTTTGCAGGAACATTGTAAGTTAAATCAATTATATTTGTCTAATTATTTTAACTATTAATATAATACATGAATACTTCACACATTAACCAAGATGTATATTAAGGATGATATATAGAATACCTATGCTACACTAATAAATAATTTAAACTTTCTCTTTTCTTTGTAAAGCATGAATATTAAAAAAGAGTTCGTATCCATTTTCATGGCACAATATTATATTGTACATGCATGTCTATAAGCAATTGTGACTTAAAATTTATGTTTATGCACATGCATGCATGTTATTTTGGATCCATAATGTTAAAATTATTATGCATATTATAGAGGATATGCAGCACCAGAGTATGCAATTCATGGCCAACTATCTGAGAAGGTTGATGTCTACAGCTATGGTGTGGTTGTTTTAGAAATAATCAGTGGTCAAAAAAGTAAGGAATTGAAGGTTAATGATGATGTTGAAGGTGAATTCCTTTTACAAAAGGTAAGAAAATAACTATTAAAAAAATTCAGTCATTTTAGGAAGTTTACATGCAATAGGCTTTTTTTTAACAAGTCAGTAGAACGATTAACTCTTTTAAGAATGATAATTCTATTTTTTTTTCTAAAAAGGAACAAGAACTAACGTCTTTTTTTTTTTTGGGGTAAAACATCAGTTTGTATTATTTTTTCTTCCCTTTTCTTATTTCATTTCACTTTGATCCTACTTGTAGGCTTGGAAACTATATGCAAGTGGCACACCTTTAGAGTTGGTGGACAATACCTTGGAATCCAATGACTATGATGCAGAAGAAGTAAAGAAAATCATAGAAATTGGCCTACTTTGCACCCAAGAATCTGCTACACTTAGACCAACGATGTCTGAAGTAATTGGTTTACTCCAATATAGGGGTTTACTAGAGAGACCATTAATACCTATCTTATTTTGAAACTAATCCATAGTTACTTGCTCTACGCCTAATGAAAATTGCCTTGCGTTTTATAACATTATTAAGATGTTGTATTATTGACAAAATTTTGGTCAATTTGGTCAAGATAGGCTAACACCTATCATTTAACCCCTATTTAGTATGCATTCAAGCCCATGCATTGAAAAGTTATATTTTTATTCTCGGATTATTATTCATTTGGTAAATTCTAATTTTTTAGTCCAAATTTAAAAATTCATAACTAATTATAAAAAGTTTGTATTAAGGTGATTCAAGTCTCCATTTAAAGCTCTTTTAATTCTCTATAGGAAAAAAAAATACTTTTTGGTTCATTTACTTGCCTATTCAATACAGAAAAATAATGTGAAGATGTACTATTCATTTGGTCAAATAGTACTTTATGGTTTTTCTGTTCTAATTGTGAAAATCATATCTTTTAGTGCATATATCCAGGTTAGGTAATCTTCTACTCATTTTGAAGCTTAGAGTGTGTATTGTTACTTATAAAATATCATGGTAGATTTATTCTTTGCTTCACTTTTGCTCTGTCTCAATTATGCTGGTCACTGTTGAAATGTTTATTCTCCTATTGAAATTAGCATGCTATAAACAAACATTAGCATGCATGCAACCATTTCCATAAATCATTCTCAAGTATCATCATGCTTAATCTTACATGCTATTCTCAATGCTCATCATTATATAACATCATAGGCATGTTCATGAATATATCAAGATAAAGGAGAAATATTACATTATAATAAATAAACATATTTCTCTAATTCTTCTCTTCTTGCTTTTGATCCTCATCACGCATTCTTCATCTTGACACATAATACCTATTATGGATGGTTAGGATAGGGTGAGATTCAAGAGAATCTTAGTAGCAAACAATTACCACTCAAATATATGAGGCATAGCTTGGTATTTATAGCGTGCTTGTAAATTTAACATTCTCATGACATAATGATATGTTTGGAAACTATCATGCATTAATCATAAAACTCATAGACCCATGACATGCTTCAACTATTATCACATACAAAAAGCATGAGTTCATAGAATCACAAAGAAAACAAACATGTTATACATTCAAGCAAATGCTAAGTAGATAAAAGTATGGTAAAGTTTACTACTTTAACTTATCACATCCTTTCTCTGGTTCCTTTGCAACCAATCCTTGAAGTTGATTGATTAACTTTTCTCTTCATCTTCCTTAACATCACATGGCCCTAATTATATTAACATTGTACCGTTCACTTATTAGAGCCATAACAATAAGCCATTTCCAGACATAGCTCTCTTGAACATACTTTAACTTCTAATTTTTGGACTTCCAATCTAATCTTTCTAAAATTAATTCCATGTGGCATTCCCACATAATTTTGTATGTAGAATCTATTTCCAACCTCAAAATTTATAAAATCCAACTCCTTCTCCATGAATAAGCATTGGGCAAAACATGTAGGGTTTTAGGATAAATATTCTATTTTCAATTTTAATGGTTGCAAACTTACTTTTTCACTTGTACACTACACAATTTTTCACTTTAAGCACATTAAAAGCATGAAAATCATCAAAATCCAACCCTAACTCAATCCTTAGGTTTGGCTGAAAATACACAAAGGTTAAGGAGAGGTTGAATTCTTTCCAATTTTATCACAAAACCACTTGTTTTCTATTCTTTTGTTCTTCTTAATCATTAATCTAACTTTAATCAATCCTTTTCATAACTTGCATCATTATTTGGAGTAACTGATTTAGAGTTTTACTATGTGTATATCGTGTAAGTAAGTTATAAATAATATTCCAAACTCAATTAATTCCCTCTTTGCTAATCCTCAATGAGTTCACTATTTAAAACTAACTTTATGGTATATTGTAGGATATATCCGAATTCATGTCAATTGTGTTGCCTTCTGCATATGCTTTAGAAATAAATTTCCATGAGTGTTTTAAAGAAGTTCTATGATTTAGGGATAGGAACAAAATGTGGCTAAACTTATCACTTTGCTTTCTCTATAATGCTTTGGATGGTTAATGCTCTTTATAATGGTTAGAGACTTTTATTGGGGTTGTAGGACCATGAACCAATTTTTGAAAATTTGTTGCTATACCAAAACACCAATGAATAGGACCTAATGGAACATTTTGCATTTTTATTTATTCATCATGTAGTACTAATTATGGTATTGTATTTTATAATTGGTTTTCATTTACAATTGGTAAATAATAAAGCAATGATCAATACTATTGAGATAGTATATGTGGTGCCAAATTGTAACATCTCCACTTTTAGGCCTAAAAATACCAGAAATGCCTAAATTGGATAGGCTACCAAACTCTTTTTTAGCAAAGGTCTCAAAGAAGAAAAAGAAAGTTAAAGCAGTTTCAAGGACTAAACTGTAAAGTGAAAATGATTAGGGGCTAAAGTGTAATCAAAGTTAGAGGCTTCAGTAAAGTCTCGATGGCCAGAAAGAGAAAAGAGGCTAGATACGGGCCAAAAGTTAAGTTAAACGCCTCAACAAGATGGTTTTATAAGGTTAAGTCCAAGTAGAGACTAAATTATAAATTCAAAAAGTTACGGCCAACAGGAGGTAAAAATGAAAAGTATGTAGAAAATTTCCAAGGAAATCTAAAAAAAAATGAGAAATAATATTCAAAAACTCTTTTGTGAAAAGAAATGATAATAATACCCCTGAGGCAGCTTAAATGGAATTTATAAGGTTATTGCTGGTAAAAAGTATATTGTTTGGTGTAATTATTTAAATTAGCAAGAGACCTCAAAAATATACACAAAAATGAGATTAAATGGTTGAAAGGTTGTAATAATTTATGAAATTAGTCCCGCAACCAAAAGGCTAGTAGAATAGCTTTAATAAATTAAAAAACTGCTGATGCTAATGAAAGGGAATTTTAGTAAGTGATTTTTATACAAGACTTAAAGGAAGTGTTATGGTCTGAAAAAATTCATAGATATTCTAATCGAACAAAGTTATAAGAATTAATGTTGTTAAAGGAAAAAACAAATGAACACCAAATTAAAAATTGGAAAAAAAATAGATATCTCTCCAATATGGTTTTCCCAAAAAGAAAATGTAACTATTGGGGAAACAAATTTTTGTCCAAAAACTACACTACTGATGACACACCAAACTTGCTTATGGCGTGGCGAATGAGGATTTTCAAACACCCCCAAAACATATGTCGTAATGGAAGAGGTTTTGAAGACAGTTTCAACATAATTGCGCATAAAGCTAAATAATAATCTATGGCCACAACAGAAAAAACCTTTGAAAACACAACTCTGATGAGCAAAACGTAGTCCTCGTGATAAAGTTGCCTTACAATCTGCCACATACAATGTTACAATGTTACTGCTCACCACTTCATCCTCGTCAAATCACATATATTAGTGTTAAACTAAGTGTTTAAAACAAGCATTTATAACAAATGTTACAACGGGGGCACCGTGGCAATACTTTAGCCTCTTTTCTTTTCATTGTTATGTTTTCATCCCCAACCCCAGTCTGCCTCTTGGCCTTGCAGGGGTGTTTGATGACCACTTGTGTCTGATCCTCTTCTTCATGAAGCTTCTTCACCTGGACTCCTATTGTTATTGTTAATGTCACTAGCTAACCTAAGTTCATGAAAAATTACATACCATACATTAGCATCCATCTTGCAAATGTATGTGATAATGTTTGCTACTGAAATTCTCAAGAATCTCACTCTCCCTTAACCAATCATAATAGGTGATAATGATTAAGTAAAGGATGCATGAAGTGGAAGCAAGGAAAGAGGAAAAAAATTAAAAGAATTCATTGTATTAAATTGTATAACTTGTATGTTAATATATGATATGAACATGCCATTAATGTTACGGGATCATAAATAATGATGATGGCATGTATAGCTAACTATGATAATGTATGGTGAATAGTCTATGGATTGATGGAATGGTATTATGCATGGAAGGAATTAATCATGAATTGTTAATATAAGTTAAGGGGATAAACTATCTCTAATTGAGCAACAAAACAGTGATATAGTGGAAGTATGCCAAATGGTTGATTTTGCCTATGAAATTTGGCATGGTTAAAGTACACATCCTAATCTTCAAAACAAGTAGTAGATCATTTAAAATGGATCTGTGTGCAAATCCAAAATTAGGCTAAAATACTAGAAAATTAGAAAATGACCATATAAACAGAGCAATTTGACAATTTTTTTGGCTCTGTTTCGTAATGATCTGATGCCAATGAGTATTTTTTTTCTTTATATTACACATGACAAGCTTCAAATAGAAATTGGAATCGCCTTGTTTTAATTTTTCTATATTCAGTTATGAATTTTCAAAGTTGAAGAAGATTTCAGTGAACAGTGACCAGAGGCTCTCTATAACCCCAGGTCTCAACCTAGGAATTTGAGGTCAAAACCTGGAAGCAAAAATGGCCTCCATGACTTAAAGTCGTGACCTGGAAGTACCAAATCATGACCTGGACTAAAATTACAAAAAGTTTTAAATTCCTGAGGATTTTCTCATACTTAAGGCCTATATAATGATCTTAAAGGGTTCTAATTGTCATATAATAAGGTAATAAAGGAGGTGTGACACATACCTTACTCTCAACTCGTTTTCTACTTTCTCCAAGTGCATAACATTGCACATCTAGAACCTAGAGATACCAAGGAGAAAATCCTCATTTTTAGAACCACTCAACTAAACAAGATGAGGATTTCATTGCCCTTCCAACCAGTTCAAAAGAAGGCAGAAAAAGGAAAGGGAAACAGCCAACTACTAGTGCCTCGAGGGGTCAAGATGAAGTTCAGTCCTCTACAGACCTAACCCAGACCTCTACACCTTTATTCTATGGAGCTTCCATACAAGGATTGTTCCAAAGTGAACTTCAAGCCTTTGAGAGCAGACCATACACCACTGCTAAGGAATATAAAGAAATTTTTGACAAGAAATTTGAAGGGCTTTACACCATCTTAGGTCTTCACAAACAAGCAATGACGATT